CTGCTATGGCGACTTCTGGATTAACCGAGAGAGAGCTGTCAACGAAAATATATAAAGACGGAAACGTATATAATTGAGCACGTTTGTTGGCGGGATTAACGCTGTCGGACGTGTGGCAGCTAGAAGCAGCCGGTGCGCTGAGCTCTGGAGTTCCTTTTTAATGACAGGAGCTCATGACCTCTCTGTGTGATGCTGTGACCGTTGCGTTTTTTCTTTGTTTTTTCCCTTCTTTCTCTCGTGCCTCGCATCGTAGGGGGTTGGTAATGGGGTGTCCCGGCACGTTCGCCCGCACGCACTGCTTGTTCATGCTCAGGTGCGCGCCGGCGTCGTGCCCCGCGGGGCCAGGCGGCCGCACCGCGACATCTGCTGAGCCCCGCCCCACTCCGCCCCGCCCCGCCGCGCCCCGCCACGACGCTCCCGTGCTCTGCTGCTTGGCTTCTGCTGGCTGTTGCTGCTGCTGCCCTTTTGCCGCGGAAGCGCACATTTCCGGGGGCTTTCCGGGCAGAAACGACCGTGAAAGTAGATTTTGTGTCGGAAGGATGTGGGACAAAGGCAGCCGCGCCGGGCGGGGCGGGCCGCCGCTACCGAAAGTTAATGTGTTTTGCAGTGGCGGGCCCGGGGCGGCGGCGCGCGGCACCGTCTGCTCCGGCGGCGGTGGTGTTGATGGCGGTTGTGGCGGTTTCCATATTCTTCCTGCCCTTTTGCGATAATGGCGCCTCTTCTTCTGTCCTTGCAGAGGGCCGGTGGGTGGGCTGGCGCAACGACTCGCTCCGAGGACGGCCCGTCGAGCTTACCTTCCACTTCGCGGCGCCCAGAGAGTTTGTCGCCGTTCGGCTGCACCTCAACAACCGCATCAGTGGCGGCGCCCAGGTCAGTGTCTGTCTCTATTTCCGTTCATCCCTTGGCTTTGGCCTCGGACTCACCGCTGACTCCTCTGACGGGCAGGTGCCGCGCCTGGTCTGAGTCAGTTTATCTCTGTCTGTGTTTTACCCCCCTTGGCTTTGGCCTCGGACTCACCGCCGACTCCTCTGACGGGCAGGTGCCGCGCCTGGTGCGCGTCCTGCTGAGCCCGGACGGCACGCGCTTCCAGAACCCGTCGGCGGGCGTGGCGGTGGCGCCGCCGCCCTCGGTGCTGGAGGACGAGGATGAGGTCGCCCAGGAGGTGTCCGTGCCGCTGGGAGGCAAGGCCGCCCGGAGTGTCCGGGTCCAGCTCTTCTTCTCGTCCACCTGGATCCTGGTCAGCGAGGTCAGCTTCGACTCGGGTGAGTGACGCTGCTGGCCGTGACGTCGTCTTTTCCCTTTTCCACCCTGCTGCTGTACCGCAGCTCGACAGTGGCGCAGCAGCAGGGTGTTTGAGTGGCACTTGACCCACAAAAGTTGGCATCTCTGGACCGTTAACCCTTTTTTTCTTCGCTTTTTTTTCTTCCTACCTGCGCGGCAGCCCCCTTCAACGGCAACTTCACGGACGACATGGTGGAGATGACGAGGGCGCCCGAAGTAATAAGCAGCGGTGGCAACGGCAACAGCAACAGCGGAGGGACCGGAGGAGGAGGAAGTGGCGGCGGGAGAGGCCACCAAGTCCCTGGGCAGCCCCAGAGCGGCCCGCCCCCCGCCGAGAGGGGCGGGGGCGGCGCGGGCGGGGCGGCCAACGACGCGAAGGGCGCTGGCAAAGAGATTCCTACGTCCCACAACGAGGTGCTCGACGCCCACAAGGACGAGACCCCCAGTGAGTAGAGTGCCTGGCAAGGGCCAAGCCAGACGGTCCGTCATCTTGGTCTGCGCTACCGGGATGTGGCGGGGCGGGGCGAGCGGAGGCGGCATTCAGGGCTGCGTGGCGCTCTGGCGCGCGGCTCGCCCACCGTGGGCCAACTTGAATAGCCTCTGGCCCACTCTAGGCGGGGTATCGTCCCGGTCCAAAAGCCCTGCCCGGCCCATGGCCGTGAGCCGGCTGCCCCCTCGCGGCAATTACTTAACCGGTTCCTTCCTTTGGCGCGCGCACGCGCGGGAATTTTTAAAGAGCCCTTCTTGCTGTTTTTGCCACTCTGGCATCATCAGAATTATTAAAAGGCGACACGCTCCGTTTCTTTTGTCTCTGTGTTTTAACTCGCGCTATTTTTCTCTCTCTTTCGCAGCGACGACGGCCACCTCGGAGCAGGGCACCTACATCGGCGTGGTGTCGGGCGTGCTCTCGGTGCTGGCCGTCACCCTGGGCTGCGTCGTGCTGGTGCTGGTGCGCCGCGGCCGGCAGAAGGTGTCGCTGCTGCACAAGCACGCCGCGCTCATGTGCAGCGCCAAGGCGCCCGCCCTGGGCCAGGCCGTGTCCATGAAGGACCTCAAGACGTCCGTCAGCATCCTGGGCGGAGGGGTGGGCGGCGTCGGCGGCGTCGGGATGGGCGTCGGCGTCGGCCTGACGCCGGCCGCGTCCATGGGGCTGGGCGGCGGCGGCGGCGGCTCGCTGTACGGCACCGGGACGGGCATGAGCCTGGGCAGGGCGCGCCTCGTCAAGAACGGCTACGTGTCGGCGCCGCGCCTCTCCATGTCCAAGAACAACGTCATGTACGGCCAGGTGGTGGCGGGCGAGGAGAGCGACTCGGAGAACTCCATGGCGTACCACGAGCCGTACAAGCTGCTCATGCCGCCCAGCAAGCAGCAGCAGCAGCAGCAGGAGTACGGCTGCCTGCTCGGCCAGAAGGAGCTGTCCTCGAGCAAGAGCGGCGACTACACGGGTCAGTCTCGTCGCCACTCTACGTTGTTTGTTTTTTACGCAAACTGCGAAATAATTAGACCTACCTGAGGATTTTTTCTTTGGCTGACATTTTATTTTCTCTTTTCTTTCCCCCCTTCCCTGCAGACTTTACGAGCGTGACGAGCATCCACGACGACCCCAAGTACTCGTCGTCCTCCGTCTACCACTTGTCCAACGGGCTGGGCTCGCGCTCTCAGTCCAAGTACGACGTCAAGGGCCTGTTCGGCACGAGTGCGCGTTCCAACGAGAACTTCTACGCCGCCACCGACATCGTCAAGGTCGGGCAATTGTTTCTTTACCTTGTCATAAAAGATAAACACGTACATTTTGCTCGTGAATATTATTTACGTTTTACTTCTATTTATGTTTTATGTTAATTTGTTTGTGTTGAAAATCACTAAGCATTTGCCTTCAAAAACGCTAAAAGTGAAAAAATCGCTCAAAATCCAAAAATCAGAACTTTTTAGAACAATCTTAAGGCAGTGTCAGGGACCCCTCTCCTCATGTTTTGGCCATTTTTTTCCGAATTCCGAGGAACTTGCCTATGACCGCGTGGGATTGAGGAGGAATGTGGAATGCCCCTCTTATGTTTTATGCGTAACTTTATGTTTTATTTTGTTTATGTTTGTGCAGTCTGAGCGGAGAGAGCAGCACCTGGCCATGGGGCGCTTCACCTGCCTCATGCTGCCCAACGGGCTGCCCGCCGACGGCGCGTCGTCGCTGCTGGACTTCCAGCGGCATCGGCTGCGCGTCACGCAGGCCCTGGGTGAGGGCTCCTTCGGCACGGTGAGTGGGGACCGGGGGAGGAGGAGGAGGAGTAGTAGTAGGAGGGGCACTACTGCGGGTGACGTGACTCGCGGACGGGAAGGGTCGGCCGGGGTGAGGAGGGGGGCGACGCGACGTCAAGTTCCGCGCGGCGAAGGCGGAGACAGCCAGCCCGGGATGCGCGGCGCGGCGCGCTGAGGTCGGCGCCCGGAGGGTAGGCAAGCGCGACGCAGGGGCGCGCGTGGCTCGAGACGTTGCCTGCCCGCCGGGCGCTCCGGCCTGCTCTTGCTCTGCTCTGCACGGCGCGGGGCGCGGCTCGGCGCGCCGCCCGAGGCTCCTTCAGTCGCTTTTTGTCGCTGCTCCGGTCACTGTTCCAGCTGTTCCAGTTACTGTTCCAGTCACTGTTCCAGTCACTGTTCCAGTCACTGTTCCAGTCACTGTTCCAGCCGCTGTTTCAGCCGCTGCCCCAGTCGCTGTTTCAGTCGCTATTTCCGTCGCTGTTCATTCGACTGACTCATATCTCTGTGTTCTCTGCCGCTCTCCAGATGCACGTTTGCGAGACGGACGGCGCGCTGGACTTCACCTCCTCGTCGTCGACCTTCAGCAAGCGGCAGCCCGTGCTCGCCAAGACGCTGCACCGAGGGGCCGATCCTGATACACAGTGAGTCCAGCACACTTTTTATTTACATATGGGGCTTGTTCGTTATTACAACACGAAAAAAAACAACACTCAAATATGGAATATTTTGCGGTTTTCCAGGCAAGAGTTTCTGCGGGAGGCGACCTGGCTGGCCAGCGTCCGGGATCCCAACGTGTGTCGCGTGCTGGCGCTGTGCAGCCAGGACGGGCCGCTCTGCGTGCTGCAGGAGTACTCGGAGAGCCGGGAGCTGGCGCGCGTCCTCAACGACAACCCCAACATTAGGTGAGTCCCTCCAGTCAAAAGTGACGTTGTTGTTCTGCCTTTTTGTTTTTGGTATTTGATTATTTTTTTTAGCTGTGTGTTGACGTGTCGTGTCGCCTTTCGAGAATCTTGCGGGCTCGCGGCGGGTGATGTGGGAGACCGGATGTCAACGCGGAGTAGGTCGCCCCCGCGCTAGCTGCCATACCTTCCCGAGAGGAGAGAGAGAGTGAGGAGAGAGAGCAAGAGAGAGAGGAGAGCACTACGTACCGTGGTTGAGACAGACAGACAGGGAAGCCCCACAAACACGCCGCACGCGCGAGACGCCGGCGCGGATCACTTGTCTAATAATGCCTCTGTCAAAGAGGGCGGCTGTGCCACGCTGTGCCGTGAGTGAGTGACTCTCCCTTCCTTCCCGCCTCTCTCTCTCTCTCTCTCTCTCTCTCTCTCTCTCTCTCTCTCTCTCTCTCTCTCTCCTCCATCCCGCTCTCGCTCTCCCCCTATCTCCCTCTCTCTGCCTCTCTCTTACCCTCTCCCTTCCTCCCCTCGCGGACACCGGTGGTGGTGGAGCCCCTCGGATGAGAGTCCTTGTAACTGCAGGGCAGGAAGGCTTATTGCGACATTAACGTCTACTTAGTGATTGTTCGCCAAGAAAGCGAGGCAGGCAGGCAGGCAGGCAGGAGGCAGGCAGGCAGACACGCGGGGCGGCGGAACCGGCGGCGGGGAGCCCTCCTACCAAATTAATATTGTATTTCAGGGCAAACTTTACTCTCTGCGTTAGAGGGCTGCGGCGCTCCCCTTGTCTTACGCTCTTTTTGGTTGACGCGGCGGCAGAGCGGTTCACGCTCGTCCGCCTCTCTGTTCAATGAGCAGGGCACCCCCAGGCCCGGAAGCTGCTCCCCCCTCGGTCTCATCTTCCTTTCGCCCCGGGTGAGGAGGCGGTGTAGTAGAGCCCGGTGCGTGTAGTGTATCCGTACCTCCTGCTCCTCGGCAGGGACCCGTCGTCGTCGTCGTCGTTGGTGGCCCCATCCAGGCTCAAGTGCCGCCGGCGCGCAGGTGCCACTGTGGTATGCCGCCACCCCCCGCCACGCCACACCCGACACCACCAAGCAGCCCGCTCTCTCTCCTCTCTCGCTCCCTCTCATCTCTCTATCTTTCTCTCTCCCTTCCTCTCCCTCTCTCCTGCGGAGCTGTCAAGTGATGTGACTTGAAGCCTTCCTCCTCCTCCTCCTGCTCCTCCTCCACGGGGTGGCAAAGGGGAGGGCCGTGAAAAGGCGGGGCGGGGCGGGGCGGGGCGGGTCTGACGCGGGGGCGGACTGCTGGCATAGATAACATGCTGGCGGCAGGCTGGTGAATAGTTTACACAACGCTGCATCTTGGCTCGCGAGGAGTGTGGCGTGGCGCGGGGGGCTCTGTGGCGCAGCAGCGCCGGGCCAGGACCGACAGGCGCGACAGTCTGGCATCGAGTGCCAGTCAGGCAGCCAGTACCAGTCAGCCAGTAGGCTACCAGTCAGGCAGCCAGTACCAGTCGGCCAGTAGGCTACCAGTCAGGCAGCCAGTACCAGTCAGCCAGTAGGCTACCAGTCATAGTCAGCTAGTGCCAGTCAGTGAGTCGTGGAGATTGATTTATTTATGCCCTTATTTTCGTCCTCGTGATCGTATCCCTGCTCACCTTGCCGAGCTGCCGCTCAGATGCTTTGTGAGGCGTTCGAACAGGAAGAGAAGTTATTTATTTTCTGACTCGGCCATATCATAGTGTGTAGTGCTTTTCGTGGAAGGGCGCTTACTATATATTTGTCTGTTGTCGGCGCGGCGGTGCGAGCTGCGCACACTCTATGGTGCGCTGACGGGACGGTCGCCCCTTGAGCTCTGGCGATGCTGGCGATGCACTCGCGCCCGGCGGCCTCCCGAGGGGATGACTCTGCACCGTCGCGCACCCTCCCGACACGCTGCTGTCCCGACAGGGTGTCCCGACCCGCTGTCGGCGGCGACGATTCGCAGAAAGCCAGACGCTCGTCCAGCGTGTCGGGCGATTTATTATACGTGCCGCGTCATCACGTCGACCATTTTTCAAGACCGGCGCGCATTAATTCCGTCACTGTCATGATTTTTATTAGTTTTATGCGTGCGTTGCGCGTTTAGTGTTCGCGGCAAAAGTTTGGAAAACGTTTGGGAAAGCGGGTATCGAGGAGGCAGCAGCTGCTCTCGAACGTACCCCTACCGCCAAACTCCCCATGCGGAAGGTGCTAAACAAGAAAATAAATAAATGATTTTTCTAACAGTTGGATACAATCAGATAGGCTAGCTTGGTTTTTTTTTTCTCTTCCTAGATTCAATTCTGCGCGGGCAAACGGAACGCTTGCCGGGCACCCGTATCCATCATATAATCTTCGTGACTGTATCATGACCCTCGTCTCGTTTTTACGCCCCTCGCATTGTTCTCCCCCCCCCCCCTTCCCCCTCTCGCGGCTGCAGCGCTGCAACTGTGCTGCTGCTGCAGCTGTCTAGAATGCTCGCCTGCCCCCCTCCCTCTTCCCTAGCCTGCC